ATTTTCAATGAAAGTGTAGCCAGCGCTTTGGCGAGAGCGCCAGGGCGCCTATAAGGGGTCCAACAATAATAATTGGCTTAGTAATTAACGATCAAGAACAACAGCGGCAACAACAACAACTACACGTACAACTACAACTACAACTACAACAACATCCATGATTTTAAGATTGTTCGCCCTTATCTGCTCGAGTGTCCAACAACGCGTATTTCCCAAACCCTGGATACCCGCCCTCTTCGTCTTCGATCGAACCCCTTTTGGGTGGTACACTTTTCTTCCCTGCAAGCCGGGCCCCGGCAAGCGGCGGGGCGGCCGCGGACCGTCGGCCTGGCCAGCGGCAGCGCTGATCGGCGGGGCGGCCGCGGACCGTCGACCCGACCCCAAGAGGGACTGACAGGGGACCGACGACGACGACGACGACGACGAGCAAAAGCGAGAGCGAGAAACAACGACAGCAGGGCCACGAAGGGCAGCGAAGTAGGCCACGAAAGGCGACAGCGGGGACACGAAGGGAATGCGTATGGGGCCGGGAAGAGCGCGAACGAGCGGGGGCCACGAAGGGCAGATAATGCGGGGCCACAGAAGGCAACGATGGGACCACTGAGGGTAGCAACTGGGTCACGTAGGAGAGTAAGGGGCCACAAACGGCGACAGCGGCCACGAAGGGCATGCATATGGGGCCACAACGGGCGCGAACGAGCGGGGGCCACGAAGGGCATGCGCATGTTGGGCCGCGGAATGCAAGGACGGGGCCACTGAGGGCAGCAATGGGGCCACGAAGGGCAGCGAGGGAGCCACGAAGGGCGACAGCGGGGCCACCACGAAGGGCATACATATATGGGGCCACGAAGGGCAGCGAGGGGGCCACGAAGGGCTACGACGGGGCCGCGAAACAAAGCGAGGGGGCCACGAAGGGCTGCAACGGGGCCACGAACCAAAGCGAGGGGGTCACGAAGGGCTGCAAGGGGGCCACGAAAGGCAGCGAAGAGGCCACGAGTGGCTACACCGGGGCCACGAAACAAAGCGAGGGGGCCACGAAGGGCTGCAACGGGGACACGAAACAAAGCGAGGGGGCCACGAAGGGCTGCAACGGGGCCACGAAGGGCAGCGAGATCTCGATTCCAAAGTAATCTGTGAGGGAGTCCTAAGCGTGAGCGCGACTCCTGGGTGCCTGGGTGTCGGGAGCGCGGCTTTTGAGTAAATTATAGGAAATTCCAACGCAAAGGCGCTATCTGTCAGTAAAGTGCAAGCAAGTCTCCAGCGAGAGCGCGACTCCAGATCGCCGGGAGAGCGACTCCTAAATAAATCGTCAGGAAGTCCAAAGCGAGAGCGCGATTCCTGAATAAAATGCAAGGATGTCTCGAGCGGGAGCGGGTTCCTGGCTAAATTGCGAGGAAGTCTTAGTCGAGAGCCGTTGTTGTTGTAACCCGGAGGCCACGGGCGCAGTTTGAGCATCAATATTTTCCTTGTCAAAAAGCCGGGTGCGAGCGTCGAGGGGCACATTTTGAATGAAAAAACAGCATGCACCAGTGATGGGGGGACTAATCATCTTTATTATTCAGAAGCGGATCTAAGCAACGAAAAAAACAATAACAACAGCAACAGCAACAACAACAGAAACAGCAACAACAACAATAACAACAACAACAGCCTGCATTCCCCTCAGGGGCCCCTTGATTGATGGCTTCAGGGGGGCTGGGGGGGATTGAGGCCACGCCTCCACGCCATGCCCTACTGGGCACGGACGGGCTCCCCCAAGGAGCGCGCACGACTGCGGCGTTCGCTTCGCTTCGCTTCTCTTCGCTTCTGGGGATTTTGTCGGAGCCTCTTATGGGATTTTTATGTGGCGTTCTTGGGGCCATCTTGGTGGGAAAGGCTCGAAATGTCAGTTCGCATTCTCCTTTTCGGGGCCCTCTTTGGCCTCTTTTGGGCCGTTTTGGGGCCCCCTGGGCCGTTCGGGGGCCCTGTTGGGGCGTTTTGGGGCATTCTTGGAAACCTCGAGGACCGTCTTGGGACAATCTTGGAAGCTCCTTGGGCTGTCTTGGACGCTGTCAAGACGAAAAAGCTGATAATGACAAAAGCACACGTCTACTGCAGAGGATGGGCCGATTTCTGTTCGTTCAGACCCTAGCCCTCTCGGCGGTCCTCTGGGAATGCTCTGAGGCCGTCTTGGGGGTCCTCGGCGGTCTCGAAGCCATCTTGGACCGTCATGGGGCTTACTACCCTGGGACGTCTCGACGCTCTTTTGGAGCCCCTTGTCGTTATGTTTGGGCCGTCTGGGGGCTCTTTGGAGGCTCCGGAGGCTCCAGGAGCGCGTTGACGAGCTCGTCCCCCCACCCACCCTCACCCTTCCCTTCAGGTTTCCCTTGCCACCCCCCCCTCTAACCTGAGGGCGGGGGGGGAACGGCGGAGGGGGAACAGCCAATCATCTCACACGCCTTTGCAGCTCCCGGCAAGCGGGGGTCTGCGGACATCGCATAGCCTCCACGCTTCTACTGGCGCAGTGCAATAATGCACCGTTTGACGCCGCGCTGGCGAACATCCCGAAAAGATCCTCAGTGTTGCGCTTTGGAGACCCCAGTGCTAGTTTCGTTCGGGCGTCCAACATTCTCGGGATTCTTGGGCAACGTGGGCCACAACGCCCATGGAGGCACACGCATTTCGGATGATGTATTGTGCGTGACACTTGAATGACTCGGGCACCCCAGTGTCGCATCCCCAATGCGTTTCACTCACAGCTGTCAAGTTGGCTGAATTCGCCGACCTAACGGGCCAAAGGCGTGCTAGAATCTCTGGCAAGAGGTTCAGAGAATTTATATGATACCTCTTCGCGCGCGCCCGCGGGGCGGCCCTCGGGGGTCCCTGCAGGACAAATATCACAGTTAGGTCCCAGCAAGGTCCCAGCAAGTTCGGTTCCAGCACTCCCGTCCGCGGGCTTCAGGACCCCAAATGAAACTCGAGGAGCGCCCCAAAGGAGATCCAGGGCGGTCCTACTGACTTCGAGACGGGCCAAGGACGCTCCAAGACGGCCCAGGATGGCCTCAAAAGGCTCCAAGAGACCCACAAAACGGCCCAGGAAGGTCCCAGTCGTGGTCCCCGAGGAAGATCGACTATTGCTGCAAAAAGGAGCAGAAGGTTGTGTTTGTGCAATGGCAAGGCGCCTGAGTGAAAAGCTCACCCGCGCGTTTCCGCCACGGGAGTTTGATGCGGGTATGCCGCCCGCATTGGGCTTTTTTGGGGTTTTGTTGGGGGGTGGGGGTCTTGGGCCGTCTTGGGCCAGATCGGAGCACCAGGGCGGAAGGCAAATCTGCAGCCGCCCGCGAGCGTTTCCAAACATATAGAGGGTCCCAAGACGGTCCCCATGAGAGCCCAAGAGGGCCCAAACCCAGACATCCGATGTCTTGATCTTGTCATTGCGAGCCCCCCAGAAGTCCCGACCCTTTCGCCAGGGCCAGTTTTGCATCCTCAGTCGTTGTTCGTCGGCCCTGGGGCCTGGCAAGCGCCCCCAGAGGTCACACATTGCCAAACATTTCCCGTCGTGAGCCTACCGAGAACCAGCCCGCGAGCCTGTCTTGCACGGCGGCGGCGGCAGGAACGCCCCTGGCGTACGCCGTGGTCGGCCACGCGGATGCCGTCGACTCCGAGGGCATCCCCATGCTCCTGCAGGCTCGGCCCGGGCCGCTCGTGCGGAGGGCGGAGGTGCCCCCAGACCCCAGCGTCGCGATGTTCTCACGGCGTGGACCCGATGCAAAATCGTCGATGAGTCTGCGGGCCGAAGCAGCGGGGAGGAGAGGAGGAGGATGGCGAGGAGGAGGAGGAGGAGGAGGAGGAGGAGGAGGAGGGCGAGGAGGAGGAGGAGGAGGCGGAAGAGGAAGAGGAGGAGGAGGAGGAGGAGGAGGGGAGGAGGTGGAGGGGGAGGTAGGAGGAGGAGGAGCAGGAGGGGAGAGGAGGGAGGAGGAGGAGGAGGAGGAGGAGGAGGAGGAGGAGCGAGGAGAGGAGGAGGAGGAGGAGGAGGAGGAGGAGGAGGGGGAGGAGGAGGTGGGAGGAGGGAGGAGGAGGAGGAGGAGGAGGGGAGGTAGGAGGAGGAGGAGGAGGAGGAGGGGGAGGGGGAGGGAGGAGGAGGAGGAGGAGGGAGGAGGAGGAGGAGGAGAGGAGGAGGAGGAGGAGGAGGAGGAGGCAGGAGGAGGCGGGGCGGAGGCGGAGGCGGGAGGCGGAGGCGGAGCGGAGGGCGGAGGCGGAGGCCGGAGGCGGAGGCGAGGCGGAGGAGGAGGCGGAGGCGGTTGCCAATGCGGAGGCGGTGGCGAAGGCGGAGGCGGAGGCGGAGGATGAGGCGGAGGCGGGGGCGGAGGAGGAGGCGGAGGCGGAGGCGGAGGCGGAGGCGGCGGCGGATGCGGAGGCGGAGGAGGAGGAAGCGGAGGCGGAGGCGGCGG